TATAAAAGAGCGGGGTATTTTGAACGTATAAATGAGTGATGCATTTTGAACAAATGGGAATTTTACCCTCAGCAGCCTCCTGAGTCACGTCTCCTCGTTCCCGCCCTGCCTCGACAGCGACAAGCAGCCACCCACCTTTCCAAGCCCAGCCACCCACCGGGGCTCCTCCGGGTGCGTTTCCCGAGCCCGGGGTGCCCCCCTGGCTCACCTTGACCAGGGCGGAGTGCAGGTACATGTTGTGGGGCATGATGACGGCGCCCACGATGCCCACGGCCTGCTCCAGCTGCGGCGTGCCGCAGTCCTGGCAGTAGGGGATGAAGAGTCCCTGCAGCAGCTTCTCCTGGCTGGGCTTCACCGTGATGTACTGGGCACAGAACAGGGAAACGGGCTGTTGGGGTGCTCCAGACAAAAGCCACGGCGCACACTCGAAGCTCCTTCGTTTGGAGTGCCCGTCCCTGTTTTTTGGTGCTGCTCTGGCACGGGGTTGGGATCACGGCGCTGAATCGTGGCGTTGGTAAGGAGTGGAAAAGGTTTCCCAGGATGGAAAAACCTCTGGGATCAGTGGGTTCAGCACTGACCATGTCCATGCCCCCATGGTTTTTAAACTCCTGGGGACTGGGACTCCCTCCCTGCCCTGCCTGTGCCAGTGTGCCAGGCAGGAATTCTCCCAGGATCCAACCTCAGCCTCCCCATGGAGAACATCTCCTCTCATCCCGTCACCTGGGAGCAGAGCCCAAACCCCACCTGGCTGTTTCCCCTCCTGCCAGGGACTTGGAGAGCAAGAAGATCCCCCTTGTCGGAACTCAAAACGTCCCTCAGACATTCTTGGAGGTTTCAGACTTTGCTCAGAAGCATTTTAGACCCTGGCAGGCAGCTGGAAACAGCTGAGATTTTGGGTTTGAGCCATGGAACGAGTTACCAACTTTGGAGGAAGAACAAGAAGTCACAAAAGTGTAGATATTAAAGTAGAAGTAGTTACAAAGTAGAGGGGAAAATTTTTTAGTATTGTACAGGGGGGTTTTAGCACCTGTCCAGGGGGGTTTTACTTTGTACATGGGGGTCAGAAGTTTTAAGATGGAGGAAAGTGGGCTGATCCTGTTCTTCCTCCTTCTTCTTCCTCCCCTCCATGTTCTTGGTGATTGGTTTAGAGTAGAAAAGCACAAATTAATATAGGTAGTAGGTATTGGGGGGAAACTGTAAACATGGAAGAAGAAGAAGAAAAGAAAAGAAGAAAAGAAGAAGAAAAAAAGAAGAAGAAGAAGAAGAAGAAGAAGAAGAAAATAAGAAGGAGAAGAAGAAGAAGAAGAAGAAGAAGAAGAAGAAGAAGAAGGAGAGAGAAGGAGTCAGAGAGGATGTCAGGGTGTGTGTGTGCCTCTGTCTGAGCTCTCAGCAAACCCCAGCAGCTCCAGAAGAAAATCTTTTTGATAACTCGCAATAAACTGCCTTGAGACCCAACAAGAGACTGC